ATTAAAAGTGGGAGACAAGTTTCGTACCAAGGAAGATTGTGTACGAGCCATTAAAAAATATCACATGGATAACTCTGTTGATTATAGTGTACACCGAACTGATTCGAGAAGGTATGTCATTATTTGTTGTAATCTACCTTGCAAGTTTCGGCTTGCTACTTCTTACATAAAGAGAAGTGATTCTTGGAAGATAGTTTCCATGGAGCCACCTCACAGTTGCACTGCCATAAATATTAATCAGGATCACCGAAAGCTAAATGTAAAATTGATGTTAAGACATTTTGCCGCTTGTTAACAAGGATCCATCAGTGAAGGTGAGTATAATAATCTCTTATATCGTGTTGCGGTATAATTGTACTCCTTCGTACAAGAAGGCTTGAACTGCAGGGACAAAAGGTTGTTGAACAGGTATTTGGCAACTGGGAAGATTCGTACAAGGAATTACCGCGATTTTTGGTAGCGCTAAAGACATACACGCCGGGAACTGTTGCAATCATGCAGACTGCGCGGATATGTAGGCCAAATGTGTAACACCCTACTCTACCCATTCGTCTGATAATTAAAAATACGAAAAATTAATACGAAAATTAATCAGAGTTACACACGTAGGATGCCATATCATCGAACATCAACATGAATTATCAAATCACTTTATATCTTATTCATTAATAAAAACAAATAATTTGATTAAACAGCTGAATTAATTCAAATGGTTTAACATTAAAACTCTAATTACATCAAATCTCCACAGAATATGTGGTTCAATAACATTAATCAAAACCAGATGTGTAACAAATACAATGTCAAATAATATAAATAAAATACAAAATCCACATCCTTCCCGTGTTACATATCAGAGCGAATCCTAAGACTCGATCAAATAACAACACATGCTCTGAGCACTACTCAGGTACCTGATTATCTGTACTCCCCAAGAAGCACATACATAACAAACAGAAAAGGGGTGAGAACTACATTCAATAATACACGGTAAAAATCACATGCTAAGGAGTAATTATCACACAAATCACATCAATCATACAATTACAACGCACATACAAGTGCCACACCAGTACTCGACATATTCAACCCATATTCAATCATATACATATGCAACGCGACTCAACTAACACGACACAATGCATGCAGTACCATCACAATCACATACAATTCACCCTAGAACCCGATTCCCGTCGAAATTCGGATAAGTCGTACACATTCCTCTGAACTACAACTTATCTCCACACGACTCCCACATGGAGTTCGGACTAGACTAGGCACCCATCATGGATTCCCACCTAGCTCGTATCCACATAACATGGCATGAATGCATGACACAAGATTATGCACAATAATAATAATAACTCACGTATAAGCCACGATCCTCAATGATCACACGTGAGCCACATACTCACCGTAATTCCATCCAGAATTACCGTTACAACCCAAGACCGTCCACACATGACAAATCTTGGCACACAATCATCAAACACGTCTCATATAGACCATCATATAAAAATCCCATTTTGTTTATCCCATTTAATGTCGTTACTATTTCCCCCTATGTTTCATTATACCATCTTAGTCTTACGGATCAAGAGAAATTATATTACACGCGAAATCGGGACAGAAATCGCGAAAACGGAAAATTTTCACCACAGCTTTGCCCATACACGTATGACCATCTCCCTATGCCCCAAACCTACTATCATACGCGTAGGACTCGTCTGCCCAGGCCATCCATACGCGTATTAGGGTTTCCCTCTCAAAACTTCTCCAAAACTCCCCATACGCGTATGACCCCTTCCAAAAGCTTTCTATACGCGTACTGACCTTGCCATACGCACATGGCTACTCCATCATACACGCATCATACACGTACCGACAGAGGGTCGTGCTGGCTCTGGGGACGGGTGCATATCATATGTGTATTACCCATTGGGAGTGTCTCACATACGCATATTGTCCTGGGCGTTACGCGTATTGACTTGCCTGCACAACAAAATCCCCAGTTTTGCATCAATGCGATTTTCCCCCATTGGAGCACCTCTAAGATCCTGATTTCGATCCAAAAATAACAACTACACTAGTCTATCATTAATGGGTTTATTCAACATCATTCTTTTCAACATTTTCTACTATTATAGTCCATTTTCTTTAACCCCCAAAATCCCCCAATTTTCAGATTTGGTTCCATATCAGAATCCAACAACAACAATACCAAACTTGCATAAATTTTCCATTCGAAATCAATATACAACACATATTCATACACACAGTCAGTACACAATTACAAACTAACAACAACCATCACACAATCATAGCAATCAGACAAGGAAAAAGAAGAATGTACAAAAAAGTCCTAAGAGGGAAAGGAACCCTCACTACCCTCTCATGTTATTATCACCACTAATGAATCTCATTCTCCCCCTTACCTGAATTCTGAGCTTTCTCCCTTCAACAATGGTTGAAACCTTAGTTCTTCTTGTCCTAGCTCTCATTCTCTCCCTCTTTCACGTTCTAGCAGTTATTTCCCAAAACTTTGCTAATCTCTCTCTAATTTTGTTTTTATCTCACTTAATTAACTCCTAATAGTAATAATAATAATAATAATAATAATAATAATAATAATAATAATAATAATAATAATAATAATGGTAATAATAATGATAACAATAATATTACTAATATATCTCATTCCTTATTAATTAATTATCATTATCATATTATTCTAAAATTTTATTCATATTACTCAATTAAGGCTAATTCCTCCCTCTTACCCTTAACCACATACCCTTAATGAAGTCAATAAAATCACAAACAACACACAATGACTAAATATTTTAAATGGGGCGTTACAAGATGGAACTATTATTGATAGAAATGTCATTTTTCACCGTCTCTTTTGGTCGTTTCAACCATGCATAAAAGATTTTACATTCTACAAACTTGTTATTCAAATTGGTGGAACATGACTCTACGGAAAATATAAGGGCACCTTGCTTATGGCTGTTGCACAAGACAACAACAATAATGTCTTTCCCATAGTCTTTGCTCTGGTTGAGGGTGATACCACTTCTGCTTGAAGTTTATTCCTTAAGAATCTCAGAACACATGTCGCTCCACAAGTCAATCTCTGTTTGATTTCAGACAGACATGCTGCTATAGAGAATGCTTACACTAACCATGATAACGGGTGGATTAATCCTCCTTTTACTCATGTATATTGCATTAAACATATTGCACAAAACTTCATGCGTGCAATCAAAGACAAGAACCTTCGCGCAAAAATTGTGAATGTCGAGTATGCTCTAACTCAACCAACATTTCAATACTACCTTAACGAAATTAAGATGTCAAATGCAGGTGCATGAAGCTGGTTGGGTAACATTCCACTGGAAAAGTGGACAAGGGTTTTTTATGGTGGATGTCGTTGGGGCCACATGACGACAAACCTTGTGGAGTCCATGCACAGGGTATTCAAAGGAATTAGAAACCTTCCAATTACCGTTTTGGTGAGATCAACCTATTATAGGTTGACATCACTTTTCGCAATAAGAGGTGAAAGATGGAGTGTAGTGTTAATGTCGGGTCTAGTATTCAGTGAAAGCATAATGAAAATGGTGAAAGAGGATACTATCAAAGCCAACACACATGCAGTTACAATGTTTGAGTGTCATAGGCAAATACTCAGTGTACAAGAAACAATGGACTATAATGAGGGAATGCCCAATTTATCCTATGCTGTCAGACTAAACAGATGTTGGTGTGACTGTGGTAAGTACCAGGTCTTCCGTGTACCTTTCTCACATGTCATTGCGGCATGCACACATGCTCGTCAGGATGCATATAGCCATCTATCTAATGTTTACAAGGCGATTAATGTTATGAATGTCTACTACGAAGGCTTCACAGTGCTACTAATGAAGGCCATCTATCTGGATTATGATTTAGCTTACCGTTTCAGTTGTTGTAACTTAATATTTTCATATATTAATAAGTCTTTGTTACAGCAATGTTAACAACAAACAACACATATCGCGAACTAACAACACACACTACATACGACACATAAAACAACTAACGAAAAAGAAACATAAAACATTCTTAACTGATCACAACAATCAAACTAATTTTATTCGGCCCAACATGACTTTCCTCGCATCCTTATCTGTCTTAACACGAACCCATCCACGCAATCGATTAAGTCTCTCAATACTTCGAATTTTTCCCCCTTCACCAATGTCTCCTTCTAACCACCGATTCAGCTCTCTCTTAAGTTGATTGGAACTTTGTATGTTCCAAAACAACGTGTCCATCAGAGGCTTCTCTCTCGAATAGACGACTTTTCCCCACAGGCGACGATACATGTTATCAATGGAACAGAGATATGATATGAGTTGTGGAACTAAATGGTCAGAACACCTCTATTTATAGAAAAAAAAATTCAGTTTCAATACAGTCTCTAGATGAATTGGTGACTCCCCTTTATGTATTACACCATGTCGCCAATTGAATTAGAGACTTCATGAGATGTCTCCAATCCAATTGACGACTTCACTCATGCTCTAGCAAATGGTCGCCAATTGGTATGACGTCTACATGTATTCAGAAACTCTAACTGGAATAGTTTGAAAAATATTTTAAAAAGTTGAGTATTTTAGAATTTTTTTGAAAAAGTAGGCTATTTAGGTAAAAAAAATTCGTTATTTAAGTGCCAAAAATATAAAACCAAACCAATCAATTAAATGTACAAAACCAATTATACAGCCCAAAAATGATTATGTAAGAAAAACGAAAAAAAAAACTAGTATTTCCAAATTTCAAATTCAAATTCACTCACCCAACGGCTGGTTCCGCTTCCTGGCTCTCTCCCTCCCTCTCACACAGTCTCTTCTGTTCCATTTCTCCCTCAACTCATACCCTATTTTCTCTCTCTAGAATCAACTCATCAAACCCTACTCTCTTCTCTTCTGTTCCGGAAGCAAAAATCAACTCCGATGAAGAAATTCTCGCTAAGAAATGCAATCACGCGGAACAATCCTTCAACCGCCAAACCCAAATCCACGCAAAAGCACAAACTCGCACCATCCAAGGACAAAGAAAACAATCCTCCTTTCAAATCCCCTAACCCTCTCAAACGCAAGCTCCCTCCCCTTCCCGAAGATACACTCTCTACCTCTTCCGATTCCGGCGTCAAGGTGTTTCTTCATTCTCTTCCTCTTCAACAATTACGACTCGTTTTAATTAGTTTCTAATTTTATGTTTTATACTAATTATAGGTTATTGTGAGGTTGAAACCACTGTGCAATGACAAGGATGAAGGAGGTTCCGTGATTCAGAAGATTTCCACCAATTCCTTGTCAATTAACTCTCATAGTTTCTCATTTGACTCCATTCTTCACGCGGAGGCTACTCAGGCACGGTTTATTTTTCTCATTTTTGTATGCTGTTGTGTCTCTATTCTGATTCCATTGCTGTTACTTGATTCATGGATTGTTTAATGTTGTTGTTTCTCGCTTCAGTTAGATGTTTTTGAGCTTGTTGGTGTGCCTCTAGTAGAAAATTGTTTGGCAGGGTTCAATAGCTCAGTTTTCGCTTATGGCCAGGTTTATTCCCAAATTTTTTTCATGATGGTGTTGCTTTTGTTATTATTCTTGATGATTATTAATTTTCATTTTTTTTCTTCCATATAGACTGGGAGTGGTAAGACTTACACCATGTGGGGTCCTCCCAATGCTTTGGCTGTTGAAAACTCAACCATTGATCAGCAAGGAGGTCTCGCCCCGCGCGTTTTCGAGAGACTATTTGCCCGCCTAAATGAAGTTAGCAACAATTTCATGTTTTATTCCTTGTTAAATCCTTTGAAAGCTCTATGAACGTGTGAGTATGATGTTGATCAATTTTTGTGTTTCTTGTGCAGGAGCAAACCAAGCATTCCGACAACCAACTCATGTACCAGTGCCACTGTTCATTTCTTGAGGTTGAATTGAATGACTGTTGGTTATTTCTTTGTTTCTGTGTTTTTCTGCTTAACTGTTGTCTAGTATATCTGACGCACAGGATTTTGCAGATATACAATGAGCATATAACCGATCTGTTAGATCCAAATAAAAGAAACCTACAGGTTAAATCCAAACCATTGTAGTTTTCCCTGGTTCATATTTGATTTGGGTTTATAGCGGAACTGGTTTGTTTGTTTATTCAGATTAGAGAAGATGTCAAATCTGGTATCTATGTTGAAAATCTTACAGAGGAGCAAGTATGTACTGTGAAAGATGTCAATAAGCTTTTGATAAAGGTGTGCTTTATCATAGCCATTGTCGAACTAGTCATAGACTGCTGTTCTTTAGCACTCGTTTGACGCTCTGAAAGCACATACAATTCAATGCATAATAATCATCGGGTGTATGGCTGACAAATTAGATGATTTTTTGTCATGCGGTTGCATTTAAATGTCATTTTTCCCCTGTTCAATTTCTTAAGAGTAATTATATTTAGGAATTCATATGAAATGCTTGTTTCAACTTTATTTCAGTAATATAGATTTGTAATACTGTGTTGATCCTATAGGATGTATTTTGTTTTCATTTTTTCCACTTACTACATACTAGAAGTTGCCATAGTTCATGTCATAATGTCAGATATCTGAATACGCATAAGCACAACAAAACAATCAACACATGTCTTTGTGGGATAGCTGGACTTCATTTTGAGCATTTATGATCCAATCTCCATTTAGCAAATTTGGTTAAAACTGATTTTGCCACCAAGAGAAATGAAATGCTTAGTTGCTTTACAGACTGACTTGAATACAACAACAACCAAGCCTATGACTTGAATACTACAACAACCAAGCCTTATTCTACTAAGTGGGATCAGCTACATGTATCAAATCACGCCATAATGTTCTATCGAAGACCATGTTTCTATCCAATTCGTTTACCTCAAGATCTGTTTTAATAGTTTCTCTTATAGTTTTTATAGGCTCCTCTACCTCTAGTTGTTTGACTACTCTCCTTAAAGGTTGACTTGAATATATCTTTTTTATTTTTAAAGTTTGACCTTGATTTATGCTAGTATTTACTTTTAGCTTTCCAGTTAATTGATATACTTTTTGTTTATTTTGATACTTTTGAGTTCACATTTCATAACTGCCACGGCACTTCATACTTTTTGACATATTTCTTTTTTAGGAACTTCTGATTCTTTGGCTATTAAATGTTTTATGCATTTTTACTATCATATACCTTTCACTATGCAGGGATTGCTAAACAGAACAGTAGGTGCGACCAGTGTAAATTCTGAAAGCTCCCGTTCACATACAGTGTTTACTTGTGTTGTTGAGTCTCGATGCAAGGTGATATACTCTTATCTTGTAGCCTGTGGATTGTTGAAATAATTGTTTTGAACAATAGTCAAATTGTATAATGGGTTGGCTGTAGATAGTAGAAAGCCCAAACAGTTAGTGATCTTTAACTAGATAATTTTTAGAAGGAACATTGTGCTTTTCTGAACCTTTGCTTTTAAGGTGCCCTGTTGGCTAAAACAACTGTTCAGAATACATTTCTCTGCATCACAAGATAACCGACAATAGAAGAGCTATTGATGTAAGCTCATATTTTCATTTGCAGAGTATTGCAGATCGTTTAAGCAGGTTTAAAACAAGTAAAATCAATCTTGTTGATTTAGCCGGGTCAGAACGGCAGAAATTAACAGGCGCAGCAGGATACCGTCTGAAGGAAGCTGGCAACATTAATCGATCACTTTCACAGCTTGGGTATGATTTAAAATGCTTGTGTATTCCATTGTTATTGTTGCCACTCCAAATGCTAATACACTAGTCGTTGCTCCATTGTTGATATCCATTATAGTTTGAGTATTTGCAACATAAAGTACTGTGTTTTTATAAGGCCTTCCATAAGACTTCTTTGTGGTACACCGTGGGAATTTCTTTGTAAATCAATGAGAATCATGTTTATTTCCCTCCGTATTTTTCTATCAAACCTTGCTATTGGCACAGCCTTAATAAACATGTACCTGAAACAATTTTAGAATACATGTTATAAATCTTTCTCATTTTATACCAAAATGCTTGCCCACTGATTTAGTTGTTGGCGTGCCACTTACTTTGCTCTAACAATTGTTTGGATAAAACTTCAAGCTGAAAATTTCTACTCCTTGCTGTTTTATAACCTGTTCATCGTATTTATACCTTGGCTACCAAATCCTACAATCACTTTCCCTTCATTTCAAGAGCTTACTGAGGTTAAATCTGACTGCAGGAATCTGATTAACATTCTTGCTGAAGTTTCTCAGACAGGAAAGCAGCGGCATATACCATATAGAGACTCCAAGTTGACTTTTTTGTTACAGGAGTCTCTTGGTGGAAATGCAAAATTGACATTGCTTTGTGCTATTTCCCCTGCACAAAGGTAGATATGCAAACAACTGGTGATTTTTTTTTCTCTTTATGTCTTGTGGGAATATAAATATTTACATGACTTAGCATTGCAGTTGTAGGAATGAGACTTTTAGTACGTTGAGATTTGCACAATGTGCCAAAGCTATCAAGAACAAAGCTGTTGTAAATGAAGTAATGCATGATGATGTGAACCAATTGCGAGAAGTAATACGCGAACTCAGGGTATATTTCTTCCACCATGATGAACCTTCTCTTTTCCTTGTCGGGACATGAAATTTTGATTCAAATAACTTAGATCTGTAAAATCAACCAGGATGAGCTGCATCGAGTTAAAACAAATGTTAACAATCCCAGTGATGGCAGCCGAGGCCATTCAGCAGCTTTGATCCGAAGAAGTTTGAATTTATTGCAGCCTAGACTCCAATACCCGTTATCACTACCTCACATTGATGAAGATAGCGATGAGGAGATGGAAATTGATGAGGAAGGCGTTGAGGATCATGCTAGAGTTCTTTGCAATTCGAACAAAGATTCTGTTGATAACCCTGTTAGCCTCGGTGTAGTTAATTGTGATACTGGCCCCGTCCTCAAATCCCCAAATCTCAGTGTTTCCCCAACAATCAGCAGCAGCAGAAAAAGTTTGAAGACCTTATCAAAGCTCTCCCCATCTCAGAATAACCTTCTTCGCGAAAGTGACATAGGCATAAAGAATGACTTTGGCACAAAGACTGCTAATCAGAAAAGCATACCTACTGCCCTGTCTAGTCTGATGGCTCAAAATTTCCTTACTAAAACTGAAAATTTAACCGCTAGCATCCGGCATGGTCTTGAAACTATTGATAACCACCTTTGCGCGGAAGCTATTCGGCGATCACCGTTGAGGCTCTCATTGAGACCTAAAGATTCTAAGCAAAATTTTCCAGTGGACAAAGTTAATGTGGGAGTACAGGCTTTCGTCGATGATAAGGCTGGAGATGAAGATTCTGTTATGACATGTAATAACTGTAAAAGTAGAATGCAGCTTGATGGCAGTACGGTTGACAATAACTCAAACATGCAGTTAGTAGCTGTTGATTGCCCTGAGTCTGCTGATAAACCAAAGAAGCAAGTTCTCAAAGTGAGTGTAAAAATCCCAGATGCATTTTCCGGTATAGCTAAGTTTCAATCTATTAATTATAGTTTCCTTTTCATGTGATATAGGCTGCAGAGAAGGTTTTGGCAGGATCCATAAGGAGAGAAATGGCACTTGAAGAGTTATGTGCAAAGCAGGCTTCTGAGATATCGCAGCTCAATTGCTTAGTGAGTTTATGTTTGTTTCATAACAATAATCCGCGACCATTTTACCATCATCTGTTGTGACTATTGTCAATCATACTTGTAGTTGGAACAGTACAAGCACGAGACAGAATGCAATGCCATAACAGGACAGGCAAGGGAAGGTAACATTCAGCACATTCAGAGCCTTATGGATGGTGATTTACCCACCGACGAATTCATGAACGAAGATCTAGTGTCCCACGAGGTAAGAGCAAGTTATTTTTAAGGTTTCTCTTTTATGATTACTATATTGGATGCTTAAGACTATGAGCATTCAACAGCTTTTGAAGGAGAACTATGAGCATCATCCAGAAGTTCTGAAGATGAAGATAGAGTTAAAAAGAGTACAAGATAAGCTACAAGAATATCAGAATTTCTATGAATTTGGAGAGAGGGAAGTACTGATGGAAGAGATATGTAATTTAAGAAATCAACTGCATTTTTATTTAGACTATCCATCGACATCTGCAAGAAAAGAATATCCACTCTTGCAATTGCCTCACTCATCTGAACCTAGTTTGGAAGCAAACCTCGATGCCTTTCCTGATTCAACAGAAGCTAGCACTGAGGCAAATGCAAATCCAGAATCAACTGAAGATAGTGCCGAAGTAAAACTTGAACAGGAAAGAAGTAAGTGGACTGAGGCTGAAAACAGGTGGATTTCCCTGTCTGAAGAACTCAGAGCTGAAGTTGAAGCTAACAGGTCGTTAGCTGAAAAGAGGAAGCGTGAATTAGATGCTGAAAGGAAGTGCTCCAAGGAACTGAAGGATGCAATGCAAATAGCTATAGAAGGCCATGCACGTGTTTTAGAACAGTATGCAGATTTGGAAGAGAAACATGTCCAGTTGCTCGAAAGGCATAGAAAGATTCATGATGGAATTGATGATATAAAAAAAGCAACTTCCAGAGCAGCAGTAAGAAGTGCGGAGTCTAGACTTATAAATACCCTTGCAGCAGAAATTTCAGCATTAAAAGCAGAAAAAGAAAAAGAAAGGAGAATCCTAATAGATGAAAATAAAGGGCTTCAGGATCAACTAAAGGATACTTCTGAAGCAGTGAAAGCTGCAGGTGAGCTTCTTGTGCGGCTTAAAGAAGCAGAAGATGGCGTCATTACTGCACAGGTGAGAAAATCAACATGCATCTTTAATGAGTATTATCAGCTGAAAAGTACTTGTTGCTTTTGTCATCCTCTCCCCTTTCTCGCAACTTAATTAAACCATCAATCATCAATACCAGTATTCTCCTTGTATTTTCTTGACATTGTCGCATGTTCCTTATAAAACAAACCCATTTGTTTCTTCTATTATCAATATGAATTTGGATGACACCTAATAATATATAGAACTTTGAGGATTTTGGTTGTTTTATCACATGTAATAGTACCTGAAGCATCAATTACCAGTGTCTTGTTCAAAAATAAAAGGCGAGTTGTTAATATTGCTCTTTTTAATTTGCAGAATCGTGCAATGGATGCCGAACAGGAAGCTGCAAAGGCCTTCAAACAAATTGATAAATTGAAGAAGAAACATGAGATTGAGATTAGCACACTTAATGAGTTCATTGCCAAATCACGTTTGCCTATGGAAGCAATACAACCTACTTGTAATGATAATGCCATCCCTATTGATGAGGACACCAAGGAACCATCACTCAGTGTTAATAAGTTTGAACCAGTTTGTAATGAAGAAGGCGAGGTTGCTAAATCAAAAGAACAATCATGGTTCTCTGGTTATGACAAATGCAACATATAGAAAAATCCCACTTGTAAATGACTGTAGAAACATTCTATTGGTCATAATCGGGAAAGGATTCCATGACAGTTGAGTGACTTTCATACCTTTGGTGTACTTTGGATATAGATTTTAGATGCGAAAGATAGAGAAAGTTATGAAAGGTACAGTACTCTAAAGTTAGCTAATCCTGATTAATCATATGATTCATTCCACGAAATACTTGGCATTCTTTCATTCTTGCGTCTCCCAATTCCCAAAAGTCTTTTCCACTCATCATTTTAGTTTCTTAGATTAAGACATGAATTTAGTTTGTACATCTTTATCAAATAAAATTTGTTTTAAAATAAATGACATTCTTATTTTTCAATTTTTAATGTAGAGATAATTATTATTTTCCAATTGTTTTATCAAATTATTAATGTGTACACAATTTCTAAAACGTTAAAAAGACAATCAGTAAAAGTGGAGTGTTTTTTTTCCGACAATTTATTATATATCACATGTTTACATATTGACAAAAAACAAGTTAAATTTGATGCAATAATTACTATGAAAGATGTTTGTTATAATCTGTGTTGCATTTATTTTTACTATCTTTTGCAAGAATCTAAGTTAGATTACTTTATACTCTCCATACTGTCTCACATATAAGACATTTAAAAAAAAAAAAAAACATCTTTTAAAAAAAAGTTTAAATATAATTTAGGTTTTACATTCTTTATAATTTTATCCCTATTTTTTATTTTAAAAATCGTTAAAAATATAAAAATATCAAAATATAGGAGTGTATCTGAAATAATAACATTAAATTTAATAAATATATGTAACTTATATTTAAAACCATAGCAATTTTTTTATTGCTTATATTTGAAACCGAAAAAAATATTAATTAACAAATAATTGATTAAAAATATAATTTAGTGCAAATAAACCTCGAAGAGAAAGAGAAGTACAATGATCTTTTTACTTTTAAGAATAAAATCACAATAACCTAACCATGCCCATAATCCCATCATAAGGGATGACAACATACCCCGGAGTCAATGACAATTTCAATCTTAACATTAAAATATTTGATTATCTTTTTTACTTTTAAAAATAAAATCAACAAAATTAAACGACAATGTTAAAACGACCTCTACGACATAATGAACTATACCCATAATTTCATTATTATAAAGGATGACAATTTTGTTAGATTTTGTATTGGGGTCCGATACAAAACATAAATAAGAAGATGAAAAATAGTACGATAAAAATTGCACAAAACAAATTTTAAATAGTGTGTTTATATTAAGTTTTAAGTTTGATTCTCTTCTACTAATTTAGACAAATTAGATGCAAATAGGTAATCCGGCGAATCCGCTTCAGAATATTTTGGAAACTTTAACATGAATCGCACATTCACGTTAACCATATCGATCAACGATATTTTATAGAACAAAGTTCTCTCATTTATTCTCGTGCACTAAAAAAACAAAAGAATGACTTAGATATAATTCTTTGACATTTGAAACATGTAATTTTCGTGTATTTGTGGTACCGCTTCGTGTCCACGCGCCTATTGCCCGTAAGTCCAAAAAATATTCAATTCAAGTGTGAAACTTATTACCATTAAGTTAATATCAAAGACCTTAACCACTATACCACCCGACCATTTATGATTTAATTAATTCATAAAATTAATTTAATTATTATGAATTAAATATTTTAAAATTTTCTCCAAGAATCCCCCACTATTTTCAAAATATATCTAAATTCATTATTCAAGAAGTTTCATGGTTTCTGATAAAGGTATCTTACAATTTGAACCATTACTTAGTAAGTTAAGTTTTCACTCATCCCCAAATATATTCGTAGACAAACTTTAAACCAATTATTCATTAGGATAAATGTGCATAACTCACATATGAAATCTATGTATTATTGATCGAATTATCAATATGACACATTTAATAACACCTCGCGTTTCATATCCTTTTCATGAGAATTTAAGAGTCAATCTTTGCACTCTATAAAACAACACCACTTCATTCTCATATAGGTAGACTATCAGAAATGCACCCATAATTATGCATTACAAAAAACATATGTTATATGTATATTAAGAGGAAAACGTCATCGTATCATATTTATTTTTATGGTCCAAATACTTTTACCCCTTAAAATGTATCTATTGTCAAGTATTGCAATCACTCTAATAGTGCACTTTCACTATTGGATTCAAGACTTAATGTTAATCAAGTGTGAATTTAATTTTCACTGTCAATGATTAATTAGATATCGACTTGTTCTACATCCCTAATAATGTCTTCACTGTCTTCAATTATATCCAAAGACATCATATTTTGTTGGTGATTTTAGTATCATCAATGTATTTTAGTAGTAATGTGATTTACTGTAGGCCGATGCAATTATACGTTAAGCTTGGAAACGAGTTAGGGTAGTGCGGAGTGCACGCTCGTCGAGCCAACATACAATTGAATGCGAATAATTGAAAAGGGGTTCCAAGGGGCGGAGCCCCTGGCGGGGTGCGGGGCAGCGCCCCGCTGGGGTTCCAAGGGGCGAAGCCACTGGCAGGGCAGCGCCCCGTGGGGTTCTAAGGGGCAGAGCCCGTTCGAAATTAAATTTGAAAAGATGAACCCGTTCAAAAATTTTGAACAAATGTCCCTTTTCGTTTTCTGTTAATTAATCTCCTATATAAGAAGTCATTTGGCCTCAGTTTTACACACTGAACAAAATTCATATTTTCTCTACATTCTTGATCTGTTTTCTATTGTCAGAAACAGATTGTTCTTCAAAGAATTATCCCCACAAAGATTTCGTGAACCCAGACAAATAATAGGGTCGAAATACTTTGTTCGGAAAGTGTACAAACATGATTCCTCGAAGATATTCAAGATTATCACACCAAAATTTCCAACATATTTTTGTCAATCCTTTCGTCAAAGAATTACAAAAACTTTCAAACTTTAATAAACTTTGAATATTTACTATTTCAAATAGTCATGTCTATGATTATTTTATGTACTCTTGATAATATTTATCAACTATCATCAACACATGACATTTTTGTCATTTTAGTACAATTATCATATACAAAACTAGTTACAAACTCGTGCCTCTGTACGGGGTACGTTATTGGGTGGGATATGGTTTTAGACGTACATTTGTTTGCACACTATCATAAAAATTGAAAGTTGAAAAAAAAAACTTAAGAATAATAGTAAATTTAAGTTGAAATAGTAATAAATGTAGAAATGAAAGTTAAACAACAATATCAAGAATAATATGATTAAAAATAAAAATAATTAAAATTTGTATTAGATAAATAAATTTTTAGTATTTTTACAAAGACAATTATTTTATAAGAGATAATACAATTTTAAAATATCTACTCAATTTTTTTAATAAGCTCCCTTAATCTTTTTCAAATATTTAAAAAAAATGGTCGATAAATTTCTATTATTCAATATTTAGATCAGTAGTAAAGTTGTTCCTATTTATAAAAATATCGTTTTCTCCCGTATATAAAAATATTTTAATCAACAATGTATTTTTTTCGTGTATAAATATAATTTGTGTTTTGACATTATTTATAAAAATATTTGAATCAATAGTAAAATTGTTCTCGTAAATAAAAAATATTTGAATCATCAATGTATTTTTTTCCATATATAAATATTATTTTTATTGACAATATTTAATTTTTTTTTGAATCAATAGTAAAGTTGTTTCAGTTTATAACAATTATTAAATAAATAGTTTTATTTGTCCTGTTTCAAATGATTTCCATAATACGAAAAAATAAAATTTATTAAAATTTTATTAACTTACTAAATATTTGAATTAGTAGCTGTCAATATATAATATGTTATATGTATAGTATTTAATTTATTTTTATAGTAGGCCAATTGAATAAAAATTGTGATAAACATTAAAGATAAAGATTGATTTTTGAAAAAATTAAAAAACAATTGTCATGAAAAATTGTTTATTTATTTTGTTGAATAAGTAATACCAGTTGGAAAAACTAATATAATATAATATCTATAATTAATTTTAATCCTCACTCTTTAATCAATTTTAACTAATATAATATCGTTAAATAAATAAAATTTAATTATTGTAATTGCATTGTAGGAAAAGAATATAACTTAAAAATAATAAAACGAAAGAAGGTATATAAATATATTTAAAGTAAATGAATATAAAGGGCAAATTTTTGAATTTGAAATAAGAGAAGACAGGAAAAATTGAGAGAAAATTAACAATTATTGAAGTGATATAAGAGAGAATTGGTATCCAATGTCAGAAAAAAAGAAGTGGAAAAAAAAAAAACTAACATTAAATGTTATATCAGTACTTTCAAATATTTTGATATCCAATGCGTTAAATTGTTAATGACAAAGTATCTTTTACAATGTGTTAATATGTACATTGATTAATTTTTGTTAAGAATAAAACTCATCAATATAATTGTCAACTAATTGTCTTATATGACTTGAAACATCATTGTTACCGTCCTATCATAAATGTATGCTCTAAGAAGGCTTGTGAAAGCTTCCAATGTTTATAGGCTAAAATATTATGGCTTTAGTTGGAAAAAAAAGTTATGTTTGAAGTATGTTTATCATTTGTTATTCTTACACTAAAGTGTACACCTACATTTTATAAATAGTGCAAATATATTAAAAAAATAATAAAGAGTATAAGCTTATCATTTTCTTGTGAGGGACATAGTCAAATGTCAAATGAAGAAATTTATTGTTTCTCTATCTTAACCTCAACCACATGTTATACTTTATAACATAAACATAAAATATGGCTGACTCATTCTTCTTCTTGTTCTTGATCATTCACGTCATTTTGTAGCAGCTCTTCTCCAACTTGTCTCTTCATTTCATCTTCAACTTTTCTTTTCATTTCATCTTCAACTTTTCTTTATTTAGCATCATTATGTTATGAAGATGAAGATTTAACTCAGTAAGTTTCTAGATTCATGATTGTTCATATGT